GTGTAAATGGGTGTAAGTGGGTGTAAATGGGTGTAAGTGGGTGTAAGTGAATGTAAGTGGGTGTCAATGTGTGTAAGTGTGTGTAAATGGGTGTAAGTGGGTGTAAATGGGTGTAAGTGGGTGTAAGTGGGTATCAATGGGTGTAAGTGGGTGTAAATGGGTGTAAATGGGTGTCAATGGGTGTAAGTGGGTGTCAATGCGTGTCAATAGGTGTCAGTGGGTGTAAGTGGGTGTAAATGGGTTTAAATGCGTGTAAATGGGTGTAAGTGGGTGTCAATGGGTGTAAATGGGTGTAAATGCGTGTAAGTGGGTGTCAATGGGTCAAAGTGTGTGTCAATGGGTGTAAGTGGGTGTAAATGTGTGTAAATGGGCGTCAATGTGTGTAAATGGGTGTAAATGTGTGTAAATGGGCGTCAATGTGTGTAAATGGGTGTAAGTGGGTGTAAGTGGGTATCAATGGGTGTAAATGGGTGTAAGTGGGTGTAAGTGGGTGTAAATGGGTGTAAGTGGGTGTCAATGTGTGTAAGTGGGTGTCAATGTGTGTAAATGGGTGTAAGTGGGTGTCAATGGGTGTAAATGGGTGTGTGTGTGTAAATGGGTGTAAATCCCCACCCGAGCAGCCTCTGAGGCAGCTGCTCACAATGCAAAGCCACAAAACAATCCCACCATGTTCTGTGCTGTCTGATGGGCCAAATTTCCCTGGTTTTAGTCCCTCCTAATCAAACTCTGCTCATTTCATACAGATATTAATTAAAGCTTGGAGAAGCACCTGTGTGCATAACAATGCAAAGCCACAAAACAACCCCACCAATGTTCTGTGCTGTCTGATGGGTCACAACTCCCTGTCTTTAGTCCCTCTTAATCAAACCCCCTCATTTCATACAGATATTTATTAAAGCTTTGAGAAGCAACCTGTGTGTAAAAAAACCAAAGCTACAAAACAATCCCATCACATTCTGTGCTGCCTGATGGGCCAAATCTCCCTGGTTTTAGTCCCTTACTTGATTAAACTCTCCTCATTTCATACAGATATTAATTAAAGCTTTCAAAAGCAACCTGTGTGTATAAAAATGCAAAGCCAGAAAACAACCCCTCCATGTTCTGTGCTGCCTGATGAGCCAAATTTCCCTGTTTTCAGTCCCTCTTAATCAAACTCCCTCATTTCACACAGGTCTTTAATTAAAGCTTTAAGAAGCCACCTGTGTGTATAAAAATGCAAAGCCAGAAAACAAGCCCACCATGTTCTGTGCTGCCTGATGGGCCAAATTTCCCTGGTTTTAGTCCCTGTTAATCAAACTCTCCTCATTTCATACAGATATTTATTAAAGCTTCACAAAGCAACCTGTGTGTAAAAAAACCAAAGCTACAAAACAACCCCATCACATTCTGTGCTGCCTGATGGGCCAAATCTCCCTGGTTTTAGTCCCTATTAATCAAACTCTCCCTCATTTCACACAGATATTAATTAAAGCTTTAAGAAGGCACCTGTGTGTATAAAAAGGCAAAGCCACAAAACAACCCCACGACATTCTGTGCTGCCTGATGGGTCAAATTTCCCTGGTTTTAGTCCCTCCTAATCAAACTTTCCTCATTTCATACAGATATTAATTAAAGTTTTAAGAAGCCACCTGTGTGTATAAAAAGGCAAAGCCACAAAACAACCCCACTATGTTCTCTGCTGCCTGATGGGTCAAATTTCCCTGGTTTTTAGTCCCTGTTAATCAAACTCTCCTCATTTCATACAGACATTAATTAAAGCTTTACAAAGCAACCTGTGTGTAAAAAAACCAAAGCTACAAAACAACCCCACCAT